CCAACCTATTTTTTAATTAAAATCAGACATGAAAATAAATTTCAAAAGAATGATAATACCATTGAGTAAACATATAGTTTACATACAAATAAATACACATTAAAACCTAATCCAACCCACAAAAATTATTCAATAGTTTAATTTTACGGGATTAAATTTACAATAGACTATAATCATCAGTAATTGGCATTCATATCTCAAAAATATAATAGACTACAGGTAATATTTTGGCTCCCTCCACTGCTCTCGTGCACATGTCTATGATAAAAATTTAACTATGATTTTACTTCATCAAAAGGTAATCCAATTCTGTCATGTTCTAAAAATACAGGAATAGCACCAAATTTAAGCGATTCAAAAATACGGGTTTGCATCATTGCTGTTGATATCATTTCATTATCTAAAGGAGCTGAAATCAATGTAAAAGTTGACTGAGTAATAAAAACTTTGCGTTTAGTTTCATCACCACACAAACACCAATCAGTGATATTACTCTCAACCCTTTGGTTCTCACAATCAGTTATTATATAAAACTGATCATCAGTTGTTTGTGTTATGAACTTTTGTAACATATCAACTGAAAAAAAAAATTAAATTGTTTATTAACAATTAATACAAATCTATTTAGTTTAATATATCTAAATTCTAAATTACCAAAGTTTTGTTGGTGTTTGGTAAAGTTGATATTTTTGTATCCCTCAAAAGATAACAGATATTTTCTTCTAGCTGGTAGCATGTATGGAGAATCCATCCAAACTTCTCCCCCTGGTGGTCCAAAACTAACAGGCAACATTATATCGTGGCCAGAACGAAAATTGTTTTCATTCCAAAATGACTGAGCAAGTATGGCACGTCCAAAATCAATATTTTGATCAAAATTTGGTTTGTTATAGACATTTTTACTTAAATAAAATAATATATTATTTCTACCATCACCGCCCCAAAAAGGAAGACGTTCTAATTGAGTTATGTTAATAGAATTTTGAGTTTCACCAATTAAAGCTACATACACACAAGCATTATCTGAACTGTTTGTAAAATGTGGGTTATAGCGTAAAACTTGAAAAACAATTTTATTCAATGATGTAGAAACTAATTCTGGTAATTCTTCCGGGCGATAAAAGTAAAATGGGAATCCTGATGTTAATGAGCAACGAGAATAATCAAAACAATTTTTCATATTACGACAGGTGTAATGTGTGTTTACTGATAGAGGTATAAATGAAGGAGGATTTTTTGGTAATATAATTGTTGGTGGGGCAAGATTAGGAGAATTCTGTATAATAGCTTCATTTTCTGCAACTTGGGCCTAAAATAATATAATAAATTAGCATACTTATATTTTTAGAGAAATTAAATGTATTATACTAACTTGTTTCACAGAAATTTTTAGTTTTTCTAATTCTGCTTCTTGTCGTATAAGTTCAGCTTTAGAATCTTCAATTTTTTTATGGTTTAAAGCAAGTTCACTAAGAAGTTTCTGCCGTTTTCCTTCAATATTTCTTAATTCATTGTTTACAGAATCTAAAAAAAAACATTAAGAACTCAATAAATATCAAAATATATATTTGTTACCTTACTATTGGTGCATATAAAATGGGAGTAAAAATGTCTGATTTAATTTTTTTTTTCATTATAATTTTAAATAAGTAGGTAATGTAAATATTGTAAAAAAAATTAAAAATTTATAATTTGATTACATTTTTTCATTTTTGAATACAATTTCTAATTAATTGAATATTCTTCCATCGATATTTTATTTTCGGCCACTCTAGACCACGAGTTTCGTGAATGTTCACTGGTGCTGCCAATGTTACATTATTTTAGTGCTGGAAATTAGAAATTCTTTCACCTAATTCTTGTAACGATATTATAGCTTAATCTGCTCCTAACTCTTCAAGAATTTTAAAAATTAACTTCCAAATAATTGGATGCGTACATCCAACAAGATGCATAAAATGGTTGTACCACGGGCTCTCGGAAATATTGTTAGTACAAAGTTTATCATAGCTTTTACTACCTTACCTACTAATACATCAATTATTTTGTTATCTACCTCACCTTCTATTACTGTAAGTTTACTTAACAAAATATCAAATCAGACTGTTTTTCCATTTAGTAATTTAATAATCAGACTTTGTTCCCAAAAAAAATCTGACTTTTACTCTGGGATTCATTTAATATATATAAATAAAAATAAAGAATGTGTATGTTAATAATACATTAGGTATGAGATACCTATATAAATATAAAATACTATTTAAATTACTTTTTATTCTAACTAGTTCAGCTATTCTATGTTTTAAGTCGGTAGCTCTAAAAGCACCATAGTCCCCATGAACTTCCAGTTTTGAATGTGAATTATAAGAATTTTCAAATCCATCTTTTTCTTCCTAGGATAAAATATATAATATTAAAAACATATAGACATTTCAATAACTTTAATTAATTTGTAAAATTTACCTACCTTTGAAAGATAGTAATGACCAATCAATGGTGCAATAATCAACAAGACCAGGATACTAAATAGTAAACGTGATTTAAATTTAAAAGTCGAAAGACAGAGAAACATTAAGCAGTTTGATCAGAAAATTTTATTATGTGTGGTAACAACAATGATAATATCAATAAGATCAGCGTAAGTATAATAAGGATAAATCAAGCCTTTTTGTGGCAGCACACTATAGGAAACAATTTTGAATAAATTATAGTTTAAAACATTTATTATATTAATAATATTCTATTATTTAAGAATAACTCAATATCTAAGGATTAATATAAAAAAAATTTGAATTCAGTATTAACTATTTTGTTATCGAAATTCATCCAATATGATTACTGATTATGATAGTGAACACTATGGCTGTATCTCAGAACAAATGATTCATGTTCCAAGTGGTCCAATAGACATTTGTCCCAAAATATTATTAAGGTTGTGTACAAAAAATTAAAATATTTTAGCGGCGACCGAAAATTAAATATCAAAACAAATAATAATTATTGTTAATTTTCTAATTTATTATTTTTATTCCTGAGACAGCTGGACAAAGTTTAAAATAGGTATGTATCTATGTGAAAATCAACTTAAGTTAAATTTCGGTAAAATTATAGAGTAGGTACCAATGCAAATTTGAGAACGATTATTCAGAGGTCTCCTCGAGATAGCTTTCAAAGTTTAAAGTAAAGAAGTTAATATTAAAACATCAATTGGGTTGAATGAATGAAAAAAAAATTAGAAGGGGTATGTGGATACCCGCAGACAAATGCATTTTAAGAATAAAAAAAAAAAATAGAGAAAATTATAAAGTATATATATTTCCTATAGGAAACAAACATTGATATGTGAAATTGGAATTGAAATCAAAATATTTTTATTTTAATTGCAAGCCCTGTCTGTAAGTGTAGGTACTTAATTCAATACAATAAATTATTCTTCGAAAACACAACATCGTATATTATTATTTATTAAAATACAATGACGCTATGAAAAGGAAACAAATCTAGGTAATTAATATCTAAGAATCTTATAGCTTCATTGCATTTAGTAAATAACAATATACGATATTGTGTTTTTGAAGAACAATTTATGGTGTTGAATTAAGTACACTTACAGCATTGATTTTATAATATTATAAAATCAATGATTACAGGCAAGGGCGCAAGACTTGCAAACATTTTGAATTTAATTTCAATTTCACATATCAATGTTTGTTTTTTTCTGATTTAAATTTAAAATAATATATTACATAATAAATAATACATTTTATTACTCTAATTCCGGGTTGCATTAACAATCACTAAACATTTAACGAATAAATAGTGAGTTAGTGGTTCTTTAAACATGATTTAGTGGCCCATGATTAATCAATTAAATTTTATTAAACCGTTATATTAATATTTTTTTCATGCAACCTGGCATGTCTCAGGTATTATAAATATTATACACCAATTAGACCACCATACACCTTTTACTCAATATGTAATCATATGTTTCTTTTTATACCTTTATTGTGTTTAATAAATAATAATATACACAGGTCCCCTCGCCCTGCCCTTACAACATTAAAAGTTAGGCATTACAAATACTGTTATACTGATTTTGGCGAGTGCTTCATGTTGTATATTTTGTTGTTATAATTTGTGACACATGTATCTATAACTATTTCAACAACTTAATTTGCGGATATATTATGATTGACAGAATTACTATGCAGTATGCACACATAATAGAGTTCTGAGTTGCTTATGATTAGGGCCCGGATTTATGTGCTCTAAAAACCTCAGAAATATGCATTTATGTTCTTATTTTGTAGGTAAATATACTCTATAAAATAAAAAAATAAAAAAAGCTTTTATTTCCATTATTTTTTATAATTTATGTTTACATAAAATTATATTGTATTTATACGGTTCATTTGTCGTAGACTTGTAATTATTTCAACATATTGTAATTTCAATCTGAACAATTAATATATTAAGAACCATACCATTTTTACATGTCTTGAAAAAGGAGATTCTGATGTTGCATTTGAAATTAACGTTAGTTTTTTCTAGAGTATTCGTACATTCAACTGTGTTTCCCAGATAATAAATATTGGATGACAGTGAAACGTTTTTAGCCATTCACTTCGACGTAAACATTAAACAGAACAAAACTAATAAGCCATCTGTAGAAAAAAATCCTTTATATCCGGCAACAAATTTCTTTAGTCTACTAGATGTAGTTGCACTGATTTCGGCATTTTAAATATAAATAAATTAAATCGAATGAATATTACACTCACTCGGATCACGACAAACACGACTAAGGGTTTGGTTAGGTTAGTCGATTACAGATTGAAACTTTATGTAACTTTTTGTGACAATAAGTTATAGGCATTATTTTCTTAAAATATTTCGTAAATTAAAAAACAAAGGATACTTCAAATTTATAATAATTATTTTTTAAAAATTTGTTTACAATAAATAAACCTATATATATTTATCAAGACTATTGGCTTACGAATATGTACATTAATTATACTTATTTACAAGTTACAACTAATTTTTAAAAAATATTATTAAAATATGTCTATTGGATATTGGATGTTGGATACCAATGGTGACTGTAAGTTTTTTTAGGACATCGTTCAATCATTGTATTAGATATTGGTTTTAGCTTATAGTATTCATTATGTCATAATAATGTTCACTATATCACTTGAACTCTCTCCATGCTTCTAGATCTATTTTGAAGTGTTTATCGCAATTCCATTTAATCGAAGAAAAACTGTAAAAAACATAATATTATATGTAATTAAATATTATTACGTACCTAATATATTGATTTTAAGTATTAAAGTACTATTTATAAATTATAATCAATGTTAAATGTTAATAGTAAACTGACTTCGTTCAATTATATTTTTAAATGTCTTCTCGTGCAATGAAATAATCTTTACAAAATTATGATTTTTTACTTTACAAGTTGATATTTTAAAGTTAAAGTATTACTTAAGTTATAATGCATATATTACAAAGTAACTTTTATTAATAATAAAATAACTAATAACTTATTGTAAAAAGGGCTCAGTTCGTATGTTTTACAATAAATCATAAATAAATAAACAAATAACTAGTATATTGATATGAAAAATGCAAAAATCGGTAGATGTGACATATAATAGTATAATATAAAGTTTGTTATTTATTTTTAAAAGTTTTGTAGTTATTAAATTGTTTAATATTATTAATTAAATAACATGAACTGGACATGCATGGCGTGCGGAAGGAATGAAGGATGCCTGATAAAAGAAATAATGACTTGGATATTAGCGGGGAGCCGGGGAAGAGGCCAAGGGGAAGATCACGAAAAAGATGGGTAGACAGCATAAATGAAATATGGAATGCAGCAGCCCAAAAAGGTGATGGGATTGATTGTAAAGTTATAGCGTATGACAGAGAGAAATGGGAGAAGGTAGTTTTGGCGGTAAATATCCTCAATGGATCGTAAAGCCGGAAAAAAATATATTATTATTATTTAAAATTATACATACTCGTGTAGACTTTTAAAAACATCTAAAGGTAGAGTAAATAAATTAGTTGTATCGCATATGACATGGCCTAAGTTAATTTGCTTTATAGTTTTTAGTTGTTCTGGAAAATCAAAAATGTTAATTAAAACTAAAATGTATTACATATAAATATATAATAAGAATAAAATACCTTGTGAAAAACTACCAGGTTGTCCTAGTACATCGTAAAAATATCGATCACCATACTTATATCTAAAAAAGCTATCAGATAATATACATCTAGTAGTAGGTCCAACCATGGATCCTTCTTCTGGCATCTCAAGTAATGCCCCGACATGTAAATCTACGTCGTGTACTGTTGCATAAAGTGTTTTTAATATTTGTATTGCCTAATAAAATAAATTATCGAAATGTATTACTATTTTTTAGTCACATGAATCATGAAATTAACTTTAAAAGGTATTAAATCCAATAAATCATCAAATGAATTGGCCCTTGATATTCCACAAATTGATCTGACTTGATTATATACTGGTAAACCGACATCACGGCCTCGCTGTATATCAATAGATAGTAAATCTTGTCCAGTAATATCGGGCAAATTAGAGCGAAAAAGGAAATTTGAAATCTAAAAATAGTCAAAATATAATTTTTAGAGTATGTGTCATATCTCATATCTATTTTACTAACAGTTAAAATGATTGAAAAATATATTTTAATATGTTATTAAATAAGAGTAATTATAATATGTATAATATACAAAAATCTAACCAATTGATTATATGATGCTTGATATTCACGACCTGTAGTTTCAACAAGTCCTCTTATTAACCAGTCAACATTTTTCCCCATAGGTAACAAATCAGGTCTATCCATCCAATCTGTTAAATTAACTCGAAATGCAGCTTTATACATTTTATTATCGATGAAGCTAAGAAAATTTGTAAAATATATGAATACAATATTACAATGTATTTCATTATAAGTAACTTAACACCACAAATTATTCATTTGAAATCATCTAATATATATTTTTGATCATTGTATTCCGTTGAGCGGTGTGTAAATTTTAAAATTAATCTAAGTACTTTTAAAATTCCATTGGTATAGACTATAAAAAATACTTATACAAATTGCTGTAAATAATTTTCAAGATTTTCAACTCATCAAGCAAAAATGTTATTAGCCATGATCAGAAAAATAACTGCAAATTTTGAAACGATTACAAATGTAGGTATAATGACAAAACGAACCAAAACATTTAATATTATATGTAAAAGCTCTAATATAAATATTCAGTGCGATGATTCTTAAATAAGTTAACACTTGAACGTTGTTTGTTTTTGTATTACAAGAATTTTGTTGAAAATTGGTTTTACTTAAATTTTTCGTGATTTTTAGTCGTTCCCGATTATTTTGAAAATTATCGGGAATGCCATTTTTCTCTGAAACCCCTAATTTAAAAAAAACAACTAAATTAAATTTGATACCAGAAACTATACTCTCAAGTTGAAGTTAAAATATTTTTACTGCTTTAAAATGTTACTGACGGTAGGTACATACACACGGATGATTTAACTTGTGCTTGTTCAAAATCCTTGTAATTATACGAACTATTATTTATTTTTTAGCCTTTTGAAAAATGATTCCTTAAAAGGGAGGCCGCAGTTCCGTGGCGGGAGGGGGAGGGGCAAAGTAAGAAATTTCTGATAACACAGCACATACTATTTTTTTGTTTTTACAAGTGATAAAACAATTTATATAACTGTTTGGAAAACATTTTATTTAAATACTTATAGTAAATCTATATAGTACCTATATTTTAAACCAAATACCGTACTTTAATTGAGCTGGAATTTGGTTATGAAGTATTCGAAATGAACTAACTGCAAATTCTAACGATGTTGATGGATTTATTCTATCACTGTACATTGTTTGAGGAGTAAATAAACCATAATACTCTGTATACGTTTCTCCTAAAAATATTAAATGTTTCTATAACAAAATAGTTTTATTCACGAAAAAAAGGGATTATTATACCTAATATAATAGGTAAATAATGATCGTAAGTAATGTGTTGAATAACTGCTCCAATAATCTTTCTAGTTTCTTGATAGAGTATTTCATCCGTCCAAAATTGGTTTATGTAAAACAGCTTGGATGCTAAATTGTTATGAAATCTCAAGAATAAATTATGAAGAAGTGCGTTTCCCAAATTTTGATTTATGCGAATATCTCCTGTATAAAACAATACAAATAATCGATATAAATAATTTTTTTTCCATATTTCCCTATGGTTTTATTATTTAAACAAACTTTTTTTAATATACTTATAAGTTGTATATTTTACATTCTAATGATACTATAATGTTAAACCAGGTTAAATTGTTTCAGATGTTTTAGACGCATCCTGTCCATTAGCCTTCTTTTAGAATATGCCTAATAATTATTGATGGTCAATGGATTGCCATAGTTATCTACCCGCATCTCGATTTGGAAAACCTTTGGCTTTCGTTTGTAATTGTGGAGAATGATACTACCATACAGTATCATGTCACGATGAATTGCATCGGTACTATTGAATCAGTAGAGTGCGGAGATGGTCCGAGGGCAATGTTTTGACAGCTTTGCATGTAACACCAATGTTAGTAATTTACTATACTAGACTTACTGGCATAACCAGGCAGTTGGGTTTAATGGGAGGAGGGTCGGGGGACATTTATTTGGTCTAAAATTAATTTTCTCCCACGGATGCTTTTAGCTTTGAGTCCGTTTATTTTTTAGCTGACCAAATTAAATGTAGCCAGGCGGCCATTGTAGGTTTTGATAATTAATTCAGAAGTCGAGGTGGTGGCCAGTTACACAATAAGTCAATAAAGCCATAGAAAACAAATATAGAATGAATGAATAATAAAGCTTTCTTCTTTTATCACAAATCTGTATCTTTTTCCTGATGGATGTGGTGTTTTAAATTTAGACTATAGTTAAGGCTCATTATAAAAATTATATTTACATTTATATAAATCATTAATTAATTAATTTTTTCTTCAAAATGTACTTTGAATTTTAGACTATTTTTAAGCTTCAACTTTAAAGTCTGTTCGTTACAATCATACTACCACTACGAGTATATACATATTATGTTTATTTAATAATAAATATTATGTTAATTTATACGAAAAATGACTTAATCGTTTTATATATAGTATTATCAACTAACCAGCGAGGAAGCAAACTCTAGAATTTGTTGATGAGTCACATTTTGACGTTGTTCGATTCACTTGTGGACAAAATTCTTCTACTCTAGTATTTTGGTTGTCCTTGACAATATCTGATCGGAGTTTTCCATTCATAAAGGATCTCAGTCCCGCTGCTATAGTATCAGTAGATCCATAAATTTGAGATCCATCAATATATTGAGAGACTTCGGCCATCTCGAAATACAAAAAAAAAAATTAATAGATTTTATAGACATAGAAGTTTTTATTTGGTACTAACAAATGTAGCTGGCATCAATGGACAACTGAAATTAGCCGATGTTACTGCACGGTTAAATGACATGCATGTTTTATTTTTATTTAAATAAACGGGATCATTTATGGGTATATCAATTACATTTTGACATTGAGTTGGTATTTTAGATAAATTTTGAACTGCACAACAATTTGCTATAAAATTAGAAAATAATTGTTGTTATTAGTTATAAATTACAACTATGACTTATATTATAACTTATAATATACAATTTGGTGTCTTAAAATTTAAATAGCTTTTTTGCGGATTTCAATGAATATAAATTGGACTATTAGGCAAGCATTATATTATATATAACATATTTACACCCCACAATTAATGATTTATATAAAAATTATAAGTATTTATTAGTAATAACATTACCAACAGATGTATCTGGTCTTAAAAGAGTGATATCATGAGCTATAAATTGTCCCCATTGCATTAAGAGTACATTTAGTTCATCATCATCTAACCGCTGATTATTCAAAAACAATTGTGTATTAATTTCTCTTGCTCCAGGCAACTGCGATCCATTTGATTGTTGTCGAAATTTATAAATACCTATAAATCAATTCAATTAAACAAGTCAAAAAAATATATTTTATAATTCTTACAAGTTATAACCAATAATTTTGAAAAAAGTTATATTTATGTGATACTATTATTAACCTAAATTAGATTACTTCATTCTGTTTTTCATATCATAAATGAAAATGAATGACTCTAAATTTTTGAATATCTCATTTAAAAACAAAATAAGAAAACGTTAAGTCTATTTATAATTAATGGTAAATACGAGTACAATACCATCACTATACTCAGCATTTAGGAGTCTCAGAAACGGAGTATTAGATGCGCCCCAAGTAGGCACTCTTAAGTTATTGCATGATCCGTTGAAAGTTCTATATTTCGAGTTTGGATTACATATTACAACTGGTGCACATCTTCTCATGTAATCTTCATTTGTCAATGGAAATACATCGGTGTGTAAAAATGGTGACTGTGCCTATTTTAAATCAAAAAATAATCAATAAATAATGTTATATAATATTATACATGATCATTTAATATTTCATAACTATTAAATTTTTTTTTTTTTTTATTGATCTTAAGCCCGGCAACTGTGGCCATTAGCTGTAGTAGGTATTGTAGGTTTTTTGGCACGGTAGGGGGGAACACACGTGTTTGTGTTTGGCAGAATTTTTAAGTGGGCACCCGTAGGTACTGCCATTCCCGGGTGGGGGGATGACGGCAATTCTCAACATCCGCCGTGACTCAGCTGAAGAAAAATGCCGCCCAGTGGCCGAGAATCGAACCGGCGACGGCTGCGCCGCAACCGAGGCCTAGACTGCTCGGCCACCTCGTCCCCCACCTATTAAATTATATTTTAAGAAAGTAGGTAAAAATGTTTTATTCTATAGTCCAGGAGGGGAGGGGGGGTCAAACCCACGGTCCTCAAAGCCTTTTTTTCCGATTATTATATTTGGATTTTGCTGGTGCCTATGCCTACGAATAATATTTTATCAATTACAACAAAGTGACAAAAGAAAAATCCTTGTTACCTATATGTTAAAAATAAAAATGGTATCAATTATAAATCGAAAAAAAAAAGTTGATATTTCAAATATTTATGAGTACCTAATATCGCTAGGCTCGGAATATCAAATAGAAGACAGAACCGTGCAGCATGAAATGTATTGAATTTTATAAAGTAGTTAAGCCCTCCCCCTTCTCAAAAAATCAACATTCTTATCATATATTTATGGTAAGTACCTTATACTATATAGTAAATATTTCTTTATTGCCAAGCTGATATCTGATGTGTGTAGACGTGTAGTGTAGGTACCTACTCATACATTAAATAAATCATAGATAAATTACAATGTTATATAGTTAATAGTTTGCAGGTCAGTACTCAGTTTGGCAAAAATCTATTACTCATCTATTTAAATATAAACTTAAGTAATAGGTACAAATAATTAGTTCAATAAATACAGTTTTACTTACATGCGTTGATAGAAGAATTGTTATTGATGTAATGATGATTGTCTGTACATGTGCAGCGATAGTATACACACAATTTGTTTGTTTAACTTCTATCCTCTGTGCCATGTTAGGTTATGAATATTGATGTAGTGCGTCTAATAGTAGAGAAAAACTTATAGTGTCTAATACCACACTATACACCGCTACTTTTATAGTAAATATCAAATATTGAAATACTCTATAACCAAGCGTAGACACATCACACGTATCCCTATTTACCATACTATTATACATTAGATCCGCTCAATTATGAATTCAGAATAAAAATAATTTCTTATTCCTTTCATTTAATTAATAGATTTCATGGAATTCCGTATTTCATAGTACCTTGCACCTATATAAATAATAAATACTTATATACATAAATTGTATTATGATCGTTCAAAATGAAAAAAAAAAACGAAATTATTAATCACTTTCTATAAAATTGAACTATACGTAATAATAAATATATAATGTTCTGACATTATATATTACTACTATTATATTGTTAACTGCAGGTTTGTGTTTATACGAATAATAATAGTATGTAGGTACGCTTATTATATTTCCGTGTTTTGTAATAACGTAAAAGTCATGGAAATCAGAGAATAAAATAGTTAAAATCTGAAGTTTACAAACACCTTCATGCATAACTTTTTATTTTTCGTATATATTTAAAACAAATTCAAGATCATAGAAAAAATGAATGAAAAAAATATTCTTGTTAAACTTCCCCTAAAGTTGACCAAAATTTTGACTGCGCCATATACGGTAAGGATTGCATCAAATAATACAAATTTATTTATGCCATTTCTGGAACCTTAGTATGTTTTTATCAGTTTTAATACTCTGCAAAAGGTTAAAGTAACATTTAAAAATTTAAAAATTTATTTAAACCAAATTAGGTATTTTTGTTTTATCATTTTCTATGCTTGATCAATTTTTAAAAATATTATGACTCGTTTTGAGATGTCTACAGTTATTTTAAATTTTAAATTTTTCTTAGTTTTAGATTTTAAGCGAAGCGATGAATGTATTGATTTTACAATAATGTGTGTTTTTATATTCATTTAATTATTTATGTATTAATTTTTTTTTTGTGTGTCTGTCATCACGGTTTTGGGCAGTAAAAGTGCTTCAATTTTCTTCAATAGCAACTTTTCTGGTAGGAAAGTGAATCTAGTTGGTGCATTCGAGAGGTCAAAATGTAGGTATTATTTTTTACTAGCATTTAAAGTTCAAACTTCGACAATATTTATCAAATTGAAAATTGAAAATTAGAGTCGCATATAATACAGAACTATAAATATGATATAAATATTAAGGTATATTATTATAGTAATATTCAGCTACTAAACATAACAGTATTTACAATGTTGTCTAAATAAAGTCTTTATTTGCGCCTATGCCTGGTTCAGATGTTGAAGGGGCAGGAGGCTGGAGCGTAGCATAATGTATTAAGGAGTAATATTTAAGCAATTCTTATGACATATACATTTGAGCTGTGTCAATCATGTGTGAGTGTATAATTAATCTGCTAACAGCCGCCGACAAATACAACTCTCGCAAGTGCATACACATTGCAATGCATTGCGGAAAATTCATTATAATTAAATATTTTTATTCACATAACTATACCTACAAACTAGGTACTAACTATAAGCTGAAAAATACTTCCAGATGTTAGATCGTAGTCTCGAAAAAATGGTTAAATATAATCGAATATAATATAAATAATCATTTTAGGTATCACTTTTTCTATTTAAAATCCAAAAATTTTCAAAATAAATATGAACATAATGCAATTATTACACAGAATTCAAAAAATAATATCTTGATTCTGAGATTCCTAGATATTTTGTCAAATAATTCATACATATATCAAAAATTAAAATCGGACATTGTGAAGTATATAATATGTGTAATTTATCACCGCGTATTGGTCTAAGAAGCATGAAAAAAAAGTGTACTGCAAATTCTCTAAGAAGTAAGAACCATAGAAGGCAATAATAATTATTGAACACATAATTTTGAATACAATGCATTTTTTTTTTTTTTTTTGAAACTTTGTTGTACAACAATACATTTAAAAAAATTACTAATTTAAAATTACGATTGATTAGAATTAAAATATTTTTTTCAAATAGCTGTTATAACAATGTAACTACTAACTGTTAGAAAAACGAAAATACCCATATGATAAAATTATTAAAATTACATATAGGTTTATTAGTAATGGGTTATAAAAATATAATAATAGTAGCCAGAGTCTACCTATAGGGGGTGAAGGAAGGGGTCCACGACATAATTAGCCCCTCCATATATTACTGTAAATTGTAATAAATATTTATATACGTTTTATTTATATTTTATACCGATAATCATTGAATAATTACTTATAGACTTATGGTACAATTTATTTATAATCTTAAAAATAAATTGAAAATAAAAAAACGATAAACTAAACAAATTGAATATATAATTTAGGTTGAGGGGCCTCACCAAAAAATTAGGCCTAGCCCCAAAATTCCTAAGTAGGGCTTTAATAATAACGAGAATAAATGTAGTTAAGAATAATTTTAACTTGTAAATTATAAATTATAATAAACCTAATGTTAAGAAATTAAAACGTAAGTTTGAAATTGTGTAATATTAGTAAAAATCATAGCTTATAGGTAATAATAGTTGGTTTTAAGTAGGTACTAAATTAATAATTTTTCTTGTGCACTGCATAAAATGTTTCTCATTGCACAGTGCACACTGTATAGTAAAAAACTCAGTTTACTTGCTAATATTCCACTAAAAGTAGTTTTAGTATACTTTAGTGATATTTAAAATGTATTTTTAAGTAAATATGTATTTTTATACATGATTTTGAAATTCAGAGTAATCTCACTTCGAAGCAATATTTTAGAAGTAGTTACACATCGTAACAATAATATATTTTATGCATAATTTCGGTATAATACAGGAGTAGCTATAGTCGTGGCCACGAATTATGATTTACTAAAAGATATTAAAAGATATCTTGATTCGTGGTCATGACATAATAAATTATTATTATTAATAAAGTGTTCGAACACTCGAAGTACCTAATAAATTCGAAGTATTATCAAATCGTCGTAGATGATTCTCGAGGTAGTTGTAGCAACCCAAGTTGTCGGTAGACCACATTTATTTAAATGTGGTTACACAGGTTATCAAGTTTCCCGCCAATTTATGGTGGACAACAACAAAACATTAACTTCGGGGCAACATGAGTATATGACGTCCGACTGGCTGAAACTGGAAGGAAATAGACAATAGACTGTCCTAAGAGTGTGTGCTGTTGTCCCGTGTATCAATAATTATTAATTACTGTTCATATTATTCTGGTAAGCTCTTCATCAATTCCTCAATCGTCATTCGTATTTTCTCTCGTCGTCGTTTATGTTTCATCAATTAGCATAGACATAATTGTGTACTTAGCACAAATCATTTCTTGTTAAAATAAGTCTTATCGTCGGTATCCTTTATTCACCATGGATGTCGCTGAAACTCAAACAGGAGTCAATAGGGTACGCGATCAGTTGAAAGTCAGGTCGCAAAAGTTATTTCAAGATTTCTTAGAGGAGTAAGTTTAAATTATATATTTTTAAGTTTTTCCCCTTAAGATAATAACTCTTCAATTCTTTTTAAATATTAGATTTGTCGAAGAAGGCTGCAATGAACCCAAATATTTAGAATCTGCTATTGAGATGACAAATTCTGAACGTTTCACATTGGAGGTCAGTTTCCTCGATGTTGAAAAATTCAATCAAAATTTAGCCATCACCATTCTAGAAGAATATTACAGGTATGACATTTGGTATCTATTTTTCACATTTACATAGTTTAATCAATGTTTTTAATTTAGAGTTTATCCAGCTTTGTGCTTAGCTGTTGGTAATTTTGTAATCGACCGAACTGAAGCTACAGGAAACCACCAAGATTATTATGTGAGCTTTGTAGATGTTACCACTAGGTTCAATGTAAGAGAATTAACAACTGCCAAAATTGGCGAGTTGGTACGTATTTCTGGACAAGTTATTAGAACACATCCTATTCATCCAGAACTAGTATCTGGACATTTCACATGTCAAGACTGTCAGACAGATGTTCCTAGTGTTGAACAACAATTCAAAGTAAGTCAATTTAATTGTATTGGCCTATATATTTTACATTTTTTTAGAAGAATCATTACCAGTCCATATTAAGAGTACACTTATAGAATGAATACCTACTAAATAAAGTATTTTATTTTGTATTCTGTTCAGACAATATTTACAATAGACAATATAGATTTAAAATATTTTGATGTATTTTAACTATATTTTCAAAATCTATATGCTTGTTAAGCTAGAAAGTGTATAGTTTAAATAGTTTCTGTGTCCCCATTATTCAAACTTATAATTATGCATGCAATAATTTGTTACATTGAATAATTAAGTATAGATCTCTTGAACTTCAAATGACTAGCTTCTGAATAAAGTCTAATTAGATTAACACTTGATTAATCTTAAAAAGTAATAATGTTATTGAAGATATTTATTTTGTCAGAAAAAATTACTTTTTCAGGTACATATTAGTATTGTTAGTGGATTTTATTTTTTTAGTTAATCTTTGGCAATGAAACATTTCATAATTCTTGAATTTTTTATTTGGCTTGTATTGTATAATATTCATACTCCTAAACACGCTTATACCTATGATGTTCATTAAAATTTGCTTCTCTATTGTCTATGTATAAATTACTTTACAATAATGCATGAGTCAATTACTTTTTCTTTTTTTTTCTTTTTTGATTGATGATACATTAACTTATTTTAATACTGATTTTTTAATTTATCCATTTTGCTTATATTATACATATTTGTATCTATTAGAGGATATACTCTTTTGAAATTCAAGTGTTTATTTTTCATTATTACCTCAACACTTGAATAAAATAGTGTTGACTTACATAACTTGTTTAACCAATTACTATACAAATAAATTAATAAAAAACCACCAATGGCTGTGTGCATAACTAATAAATAAAATACAATTTGTCAACAACAAATTTTGTATTTAAAGGCTATTAATATTTTTTTAGTATACTCAGCCAACTATATGCCGAAATC